AAAACCTACTGACAAATTATACATAGCAGATCAAGAAATATATGTCTAGGTAAGGTTTATCTGAGAACTACTGGTCTTTGCCCCATATTCATCTACATGACACACAATAATTAAAAGTACCAGACTGGTGGAACTAACCTTCTTGGGTGTTTAACAGACATGCTTTGAGGGCTATAATAATTTGGTCAGAGGGACATAAAGGACACTTTTTTGTTCCTTGCCCTCCTAGGTTAACTAGTTCCATGGGACTATGTGCAGCTCTCAAAATGTCCTATAATGGTGGTGGGTCACCTCTCCTTTTGATGAAGGAGGGCGAGGAGACCCCATCAGATGTACTTGGACCAGTGTTCTGTCTATAAAGAGGAGGGTCAACACAGAAGAATCATTTCCTTCATGCTTTCAAGTCAAGCCAACCATGGTCGAGCAGGACCTTTGAGTTATCTTCACTTAGGCAGAACTGGTAAAACAAAGGAACCAGGGGCTCCTCCCAAACCCATGGGACCCCTGAGGAACAAATACTCAAACGACATTAAGAGTAAAAATAAATCCATTTATTTGGTCCAACTGTATGGCCTTAAACACCCAAAAGGAAAGTATAACCAAAGATTAAATGGGCCAACATAATTTCATAAGAGTCCATATGTATAACAAGCAACAATGCCAGACAAGCGATACCTTCCTTTGAGTTGTTGGCCAAGGTGGCCAAAGGGACTCCCAGATAGTAACCCAGCATAGAACTGGGAAAATGAACAGCAGACCCCAATCTTATCCAAAGGAATATAGACAACTGATTACCACTAAATGAGGAACAGCTGACCCTCCTAAAACAAAGCCCTCTAGATAGGCTGACTAGATTCATCAGAAGGGCAAGTAGTGGGGAATGGCTGGGGGTGCCAACAACACATCAGACAGCAGCAGGGATCTGAGTATAAGGGCTCTAGTGGGGGGAGGGAGGCTATGGGAGGGTGCTACCTGGGAAGTGGGTATATAAATAGGGTGTATAAATAAATAAAAATTTTCAAAAAAAGGACCTGGGTTTGGTTCCCAGCACCCACCTGGCAGCTACCAACCAGCTGTAACTCCAACCCCAGGGGATTCAACACCCTCTTCTGGTCTTCATGGGCAATGCACACACATACGCATATATATGCAAAATAATAGTATTAAGTCAAAATTTATTTTAAGTACATGGATTCTGAGGCTGGAAAGATGGCTCGGCAGTTAAAAACACTGGCTGTTTTTGCAGAAGACCCAGGTTTGAATCCCAGCACCCAACACGGCAGCTAACAACTGTCCGTAACTCCAGTCCCAGGAGATCCGACAGCCTCTTCTGACCTCCAAGGGCAATGCACTACATGGGTGCACTTACCTACATGCAGGCAATACATGCATACACATAAAATAAAAAATAAAAAACGAAAGAAAATTAAAAAAAAAAAAATGCCGGGCGTGGTGGTGCACACCTTTAATCCCAGCACTTGGGAGGCAGAGGTAGGCGGAGCTCTGTGAGTTCAAGGCCAGCCTGGTCTACATAGTGTGTTCCAGGACAGCTGGGGCTACAGGGAAGACCCTGTCTCAAAAAAAGTGGATTCCTTGGGGCTGGAGAAATGACTCAGTGGTCAAGAGCACTGGCTGCTTTTGCACAGGACCTGAATTTGATTCCAAGCACCCACATGGCAGCTAATAACCATCTGTAACTCCAGTTCCAAGGGAACCGATGCCTTCTGAACTCTGCAGGTATTACATAACATGGACGCACTTACATACATGCAAGCAATACATTCATACACATAAAATAAAAATGATAAAATATTTTAAAGAAAATGGTTTCCATTGGTGAGGTACCACCAGAGCAAGAGTGTTACAGCTCTTTAGCCAACAACTTGTGAAAGACACGGGAAGGGTACACACTTGAACTAAACAAAGTGAAGGTAGCTGAACCCCACTGAGGACACTGACATGAGGTTGGAGGGGACAACATAAGTGTGGATAGATGAAGTATGTTGATACCTGAAGACCTGAGGTTGCACCAAAAGCCCCACTCAGATCACCTCAAAGGGTCTGAGATGATTTTGGCCTACTAGGGCAATGACTGAGGTTAATGGTCATCCCTGACTCCCAGGGGTGCTTATGGGAACCAACCAGTGGTCAGTCACTAGAGAGCAGTACTCCACATGTGCCAAGGCAGCAATCTCATATGACCCCATGACAATGCCAGCACTAAAGGCCCTGTCACACTTTCTACAATGTCACAGGCCTTCTGGGGCCAAGGAAACATTCCCCACCTCCTCAGCAGGAACCCAATACAGGGTCCCCATGGGATCCAAAATAGCTCAGTGAATCTTGGTTTGGTTGAGGTAATGATATAGGTTGAGCCCCAGAGATTTTAAAACTTCAATAATATACATTTTATAAATAGTACAAGTTTAAAGTATCAATCCGCTGTCAGAAATTCTGTTTTTCAGGCTCTGAAGCAAAAATAATTTAGAAAATGTACTGTACTGTGTAGTCCCAGTGTTGTCTGGTCTTTGGCAGGCCACAGAAAGAAGCTAAGGACAAAAAGGCTTATGGGGCAGAGAACAGGTCCCGACCCTCCTGGCTAGTCACTCAACAGATAGATAAGGGGTTGTAGAGATGGCTTAGTTAATAAAGTGCTTGCTGCACAAGCATGAAGTCTCAGTTTGCAGCCCCAGCATTCACAAATAAACCAGGCATAGAAGCATGCCTTTAATCCCAGCACTAGAGAGGCAAAGGAGGATCCCTGAAGCTTGCTGGCTTGCCTGTCTAGCCAATCAGAGCACACCAACGTGGATGGGCCAGTTCATGGCTCAGTGGGTAAAGGCACTAACCACCAAGTATGATGATCTGAGTTCATTATCAAAGAAGAGAACTGACTTCTACAAGTTGTCCTCTGACCTCTACATGCACACACGCATGCACACACACATAAATGTAAAAAAAAAAAAATTATGTGGGAAGCAATTGAGAAAGACACCTAATGTCAACCTCTGACCTCCAGACTTGTGTGCACAAATATATGCATACTCATACACACACACAAATTTTTAAAAGTCAAGTGACCAAAGGGGTGCCTCCCCAGAGCCAAGAGCTAACTCAAAGAGGTAAATGATGCAGATGATGGTGCAGGCTTGAGACCTGTGACCCCAGGGAGTCCTGGAGAAGTACATAAAGACACTCTCACAGAGCCCCAGGACACCAAGCATTGAGGTCTGGCAGCTCACAGTTCACCACACCCTAGAGCCAACAACAACAACAAAAAGGTGCCCCTTTCAGCCCAATGGAAGCTTGGGGCTCACAATAGCCTTCCTTTACTCAAGAGCTACCCTACACTAGGAGGACGGTTAATAAACAGTCACCAGGACCAGAGGGCTAAGCCCAGGAAAACCCTATGATTCCAACAAAAGGCGTTTGAGAAAAGGGTTACTGGGGAATGGGATTAAATTTGACACTGCAGACAACCCTCAAGGCCAGATGCCAGGTCTAGCTGAGAAAACTAAGATGGGGCAATACTGCTATAAGGCCAGGGATGGCACTCAGGATGTCACATGACCGGCCCTTCCCCTCAGCCACACACCTATAGGTGTGTTGGCTTTCTTTCCTAATGTTCTAACTCATCAGCTTCCCATCAGAACTTTAAGAACCTAGCCCTTTCCTTGATAACTGGCTTATATTTTCCATAGTTCTTCACCAATTCTTATCTATGTTGGGCCGAGGCTCCTCCTCTGAGCAATTAACTCAAAGACAATCCATAAGGTAGGAACACTAGGAAGTTGATGTTCTCTGTCTACCAATAATCTGATGTAGCTCTCAATGGTCCCAAGCCCAAACACTAGATCTAGGATCTCAAGAAAGACAAAACTCATGGCTTCAGAAGCCAGAGTCTGACTTCTTCTCCCTTCTGACCTGACTTCCTGGGTCTCAGGACACAGCTATCTCCCTAGCTAGCTGCTGCCAAGTCCTAGCTCCCTTTTCTGTGAATTCTGATGTTAAAACATCCGTTTGCAGTTGTCACCTATTTTAATTTGTTTTCCAGTTGCTCTGGCAGCAGCTCTACAAAGGCTGACCAGCACCCATCCAGCAGTGGCACATGCCACAGGCTATGTGATGCGCTCCTGTAAGCACTGCTCAGGGCCCCCTTCTTCCCGTCCCTGATTCCAGTCTTTCAGTCCCTCAGGAAGGGATGTGTCCTCCTCGAGGCTGCTGGTACCCTCTACAAATTCCTCATAGGTGGACTTCTCTGCAAAGGGCCGAGGGCCCAATAGCTCTATCATGTCGGCCTTCTCCAGCACTTCTTTCTCCAGGAGTCGCCTGCCCACCTGAAACAGATGGCCACCTGTCAGTCTGCTGTGCCCAGGACAGGGCTGTATCAGTGGCTCTGATCCAGGTCAGAACCTAACCTAAGCAGGCAAACAAGGATTAGTATGGCCTGACCACATCCCAAACTGGGACCCATGACCTGGCTGTCTCTAGGTGGAGTCCCACTCACCTTCTCTACCTGCTCCTGGCACCGTGTAAGCAGCTCCAGAGTCCGATCATATGCAGACCTGACAAGGTGCCGGACCTCTTCATCAATGAGCTGAGCAGTAGCCTCACTATACGGTTTCTCCACCACAGCCTCGCCTTGTCTGGAAAAGTCGAAGGACACCTGGCCCAGCTTCTCACTCATTCCAAACTGCACAATCTGAAATATAGGAGGAGTCCAGGATAAGCTATACCTGATATTGCTGACAGGGCCACGTGCCAAGACATCAGTTCCTTACCTGGGCATAGGCACTCTGGGTGACTTTCCTCAGGTCGTCCTGAGCACCTGTGGTGATCCGACCAAAGAACAGCTGTTCAGCTACCCTGCCCCCCAGCATCATACACATGCGGTCGAAGAGCTGCTCCCGTGTGTAAAGGTACTGCTCACGGGGAAGGTACTGGGCATAGCCAAGCCCCTTGCCCCGGGGGATGATGGACACCTGCAAAGTAAGAGCCTGAAGCTGGACAGAGGGCTCAGCAGTCAAGAGTGCATATTGTTCTTGCAGACCCAAGTTCAGTTCCCAGTCCCACAACAGGTGGCTCACAAACACCTATAGCTCCAGCTTAGGTGAAAAGGATGGCCACCTGTCAGTCTGCTGTGCCCAGGACAGGGCTGTATCAGTGGCTCCGATCTAGGTTAGAACCTAATCTAAGCAGGCAAACAAGGATTAGTATGGCCTGACCACACTTTTTATTTTTATTTTATGTATATTAAGTGTTTTACCTACATGTATATAAGTGTACCAGTGTCATGCAACACCTGCAGAGGTCAGAAGAGGGTGTCAGATTCCCTGGAACTGCAGTTACAATTGTTAGCTGCCATGTGGGTGCTAGGAATCAAACCCAGGTCCTCTGCAAGAGCAGCCAGTGTTCTTAACCACTGAGCCATCTCTCCAGCCACAAGCAGGTTCTGTTCTTGCAGAGGACCTGAATTTAATTCCCAGCACCCATGTCAGGCAGCTCACAATCATGTGTAACTCCAGTTGCAGGAGATTCTCTAGACCCTGTGGCCACCTGCACAAACATACACACACCTATATCCATATACAAAAATGTTTAAAAACAAAGGAAAAAAAGGGCTACATCTGTGATTGTGCTCTGCACATATGGGCTGGCATCTAGAAAGCCCCAGATGGACACCCAGGCCTGGAGGCTGCCAAACCCAACAGCAGACACACACAGCTTGAGAAACTGACCTTCAACAGAGGGTCTGCATGTTCCAAGAACCAGCCCACTACTGCATGCCCAGCCTCATGGTAGGCCACAGTTGTCTTTTCGCTGGGTTGTAGGACCTGGGTCTTCTTCTCAAGCCCTACAAGACATAATCCAAAGAATAAGAAACAGGGAAAGAATGTCCAACCCCCACCCCTCAAAAGGCACCTGACAGCTTGGGTAGGTCAACACACTCCATTCCCAAAGTGTAGTCAGGAACCCATCCTTCCCTCTGTATCAGACAGTCTTGCCTGAGCACTGCCTCCATGCAGCTCTCTGCTCTGAGGGAATCATTCATCCAGCCCTTACATTTGCTGCTTTAAAAGGCTGCTTTCAGCCAATGAACAGCTGCTTATGAGTCAGAGGCACTGTACCACTTTCTGTCATGTGATGAGAAGCAATATCCAAGCATGGTGAGACAAAAGGGAATATTCCCAATGTCCAAACAGCAGCTCTTACAGCAGGTACAGGACAAAGAGAAGTAGATAACAGCACATGTTGACTTGCTTAGACCTACTACTGCAATGGATAATCAATTAGCTCACTAGAGCCCCTGGGCAGCTCTCAAGAAGCTCTGATGACTATTAACACTGTTCTTCTCCACACTGTTGTTACACTTAAAAGCTCAATGATGAAGCTTAAGGATGACCTCAGTCAAACTTCAAAACTTGGTGTAGGGATGGATCATGAATACTACCACCTAACTGATCACTACCTCTAGGAACACCACCAGACCAGCCAACACAGCATGTGACACCTCTCAGTCTCAAGAGTCCCAGAAGACCCACCTGACTCCAGTTCCTGCCTGGCTAGCACAGCTAGTTGAGCTGCTCCAACCTGAAGGAGGCTACATAAATCACCTACTGGTTAGTATACTGGTTGGAGACAGGAGACCAAGCTGAAGAAAACACACTAACATTCAATCCTTTAACAGTGCTGTCCCAGGAAAGCTCAAGCAGCAGGAGTCCTGGAATGGCCCCTGCCTGGGACAGACTTTTCCCAGGAAATACCACTCAACCCAGCTCTGCTCTCCCTCCTTTCAGAGAAACTTGCTATGCCTTCTACATTCAAGCCTAATCTCATTTCCTAGAGCCCTCAAATGCCCTACATGCAGCTCACAGAGGAGAGTGAAAGCTGTCAAGAGAGCCCTAGTTCCAAATTTTGATTCAGAAAACGTGATGACGTTTCTAAATGATGAAACGAGGCTGGGCTATCAAAAACTGCCCATCCCTTTCCAAGGAATGTAGGCTCACCTCCAATGACCCTCTCGATGGCTTGTTCAAAATGCTGCTCCTGGACAGAAGGGCTAAGATGACGGGCAGCAATCAGGGCCGCTTCATTGCATACATTAGAAATATCTGCACCTACTCAGGAAAAGAATGAAGTCAGTGCTCCTGGCTGCTGGAGCTCCACCCAGGTCAACTGTATTCAAGGGAAATCTCAAGTAGAAGACAGGTTAAACTTCAGCAGAAAATTTAGACAATGGAAACTGTTTTACCAGTCACCATTTTTTAAAATTTATTTTTATTTATTTATTTTTTGGAGTGTCTTTTTGAGACAGGATCTCCCTGTAGCCACAGCTGGCCTGAACTCACTATGTAGACCAGGCTGACCTTGAACTCACAGAGATCCGCCTGCCTCTGCCTCTCAAATGCTGGGATTAAAGGTATGCGGTGACCATTCTTTATTTGCCAAATTTTCTGATTACACAACTTGTTTTCAAGATTTATTTTTATTCTGTTTGTGTGTCTGTGTGTGTCTATGTGTCTATGTGTGTCTGTGTGAGTATATGTGCATATGTGTGCAGGTGCCTGGAGAGGCCAAAAGGCAACAATAGATGCCCTTTGGAGCTGGAGTTACAGGGAGTTGTAAACCACCCAACATGGATCCTGGGATTCAAACTCTGGTACTCATGACTGAGTAGTGAGTATCAAGTGCTCTTAACCAGTGAGCCATCTCTCCAGCCCTCATTACAAAATTTTATTGAAGAATAATTCATATATCATTAAAGCATATTCATTACTGACTTATGGTAAACTTATCAAGTGTGATGGTTAGTGTTACCAACTTGACAAAATCTACATTCATTCGAGATGGGCCTCTGAGCATGCCTGTTGGAGACTGTCTTGATTACATTAATTGGTATCAGAAGACCAATCTTAATTGTGGGCAGGAGCTGTGTAAGTATAGAAAGTGAGCTGGACACTACCATGCTAAACTTGTTGCTCTTGGTTCCTGATTTTGAATGCAGTAAGACCAGCTCCATATAGCTGTCACTTTGACTTCCCCACCATGATAGACTATAACATGGAATTGTTAACAAAAATAAACAGTTGTTTTTGTCAGAGTATTTTATCACAGCAACAGGAAAAGAAACTCAGATACCAAGTTTTTCAATTATTGCCACAATTATCATAGTACAGTACTCCATTCCTTTTCAAAGCTGAAAATTTTCTATACAATGTATGCCATATATTGGTGATCTACTCATCCACTATTGGAAAACTCAGGGGTTCTACCTTTGGGCTATTACAAATAAAGGACTTATGAACATACATGAACAAATTTGAATATACATCCCAAATTTCAATGCTATTGGGAATAAATCTAGAAGTGAAATTCCTGGGTCAGATGTTAACCCAGTTTTGCTTTTGGATTTACCAAACTGATTTATATAGTAGCTACTCCAGTCTACATTCCCACTAGCAATATGAGAGTTCCAACTCTATTTGTTTCTTTGTTTTTAGTTTTTTGAGACGAGGTCTCCCTGTAGTCACCCACCAGGCCCTGATCTCAAAGAGATCTACCTGCCTCTGCTGGAATCAAAAAGCATGTGCTACCACCCCCAGCTGAGGGTTCCAACTCATTCTTAAGGATTCTTTTTAAACTATAGCCACCATGGTGGGTATGAAGCTATACCATACTGTGATTTTACTTTGAGTTTCCCTAATAATAATGTTAAGCATTTTTTCATGTGCTTACTGGCCCTTCTTTAAAGAGCTGCATATTCAAGGCCCATCCCAACTTTTCTTTGAGACAGGATCTAACTATATAACCCAGGCTAGCCTCAAACTCCTGACCTTCCTGCTTCAGTCTCCCCAATTCTGAGATTACAGGTATGTACCACCAAACTCAGTACTTCAGGTGTTCTTTTTGCTGCTAAGCCATAAAACTTCTTTATCTATTCTACATACTATACCTTTATCAGATACACGAGTTTCATTCTGTGGGTTATCTTTATCTTTTCATTCTCCTAAGTACTCTTTGATATACAAAGTTCAGCTTGTCAATTTTCCTGTTTGTTGCTTGTGCTTTTGTTCATATTTAAGCAAGCACTGACAATTCAAAGGTCTTCTGTTTTCTTCTAAGAGTTTTCATAGTTTAAGATATTAAAACTTTTTTTTTTTTTTTCGGTCTTTTTGAGACAGGATCTCCCTGTAGCCCCAGCTGTCCTAGAACTATATAGACCAGGTTGGCCTTGAACTCAGAGAGATCAACCTGCCTCTGCCTCCCCAGTGCTGGGATTAAAGGCATGTGCCGCCACACCCGGCTCAAGATATTAAAACTTTTATCCATTTTGAGTTTTTTTGCAAATGGGAAGAGTCCAATCTCATTCTTTTGCCTGTGATGACCCTGATGTCCCAGCACCATTTGAATAGACTGTTCTTTTCTCCACTGAACGGTTTTGTTACTCTAGTCAAAAAACAACTGACCATTGACATATAGGCTTCTATGTGGACTTCCATCTTGCTTCCATTAGCCTCTGTCTATCCCCAGGACTATACTGTTTTGTTTACAGTGCCTCTGTAAGAAGTTTCAAAGCAGGAAAGTATGAACCCTTCAACTTTATTCTTTTTTTTTTTTTTTTGGTTTTTTTGAGACAGGGTCTCCCTGTAGTCCCAGCTGGCCTAAACTCACTATGTAGACCAGGCTGGCCTTGAACTCATAGAGATCTGCCTGCCTCTGCCTCCTGAGTACTGGGATTAAAGGTGTGTGCCACCACGCCTGGCCACTTTATTCTTTTTATAAGACTACTTTGGTTATTAGAGGCCCCCTGCAGTTCCACTTGAATTTTAATATCAGCATTTCCATTTCTGTCTTTCTTAAGAATATATTCTGGGGGGCTGGAAAGAGATGATTCAGTGGTTAAGAACATTGGTTGTTCTTGCAGAAGACTCGGGTTCGAATCCCAGCACCCACAAGGCAGCTAACAACTGTCCATAACTCCAGTCCCAGGAGATCCAACAGCCTCTTTTGACCTCTGAGGGCACTGCATGACACAGGTGCACTTACCTACATGCAGGCAAAACACGCATATACATAAAATGAAATAAAATAAAATAAAAAGAATACATTCTGGGGCTGGAGAGATGGCTCAGTGGTTAAGAGCACTGACTGCTCTTCCAGGACCTGGGTTCATATCCTAGTACCCACATGGTGGCTAACAACCATCTGTAACTCCAGTTCCAGGGACTCGATGCCCTCTTGTAGGGAATCTGTAGTCACAGATTACATCTTTATACATTCCGCTCATTAACACAGATCCAGATCTATAATTGGTTTTATGTATTTGTTTTTAAAAAAACATTATAGGAAAAAGTTACAAACCAAAATGTTATATACTACTGGCCTTTCCATTTACTTACATAGCAAGCTCTGTTAGTGTTTCTTCTGATGGTCACAAGTTATTACCTATCACCTTCACTTCAGCCTGAAGGGTTTCCTTCATTTCTTGCAGGGCACATCTACTAGTAGAAAAACTCCCTCAGCCTTTAGTTTTATTTTGGGGTGTTTTTTTTTTTTGGTCTTTTTTTTTTTTTTTTTTGAGACAGGGTCTCCCTGTTAACCTTAGCTGCCCTTGAACTCACAGAGATCTGCCTGCCTCTGCCTCTTGAGTGCTGAGATTAAAGGCATGCACCACCACACCTGTCTTAAAATCTAATTTCTTCCTTCAGTTTTGAGGGACCCTGTTGACAGTCACAAAACTCTCAGCTAACAGTTCTCTCAGCACCTCACACATCATCAGTGCCTTCTGGCTTCCAGTTTCTGAAGAAATGGCTGTTTATCTTACTGAGTAACCCTGTACATCATGTCCCTTCTTCCATAGTATTTTCAGAGTCTCTCTTTTCTTTGGCTTTTCACACTTGGATTACAATTTATCTTACTGTGGGTCTGAGTTTGTTCCTAGTTTTGAGATCACTGAGTTTCTCGGATATGGTTTTTTTTTGGTCTTTTTGAGACGGGGTCTCCCGGTAGCTCCAGCTGTCTGGAACTCACTACGTAGACCAGTAGACCAGGCTGGCCTTGAACTCATGGAGATCCGCCTCCCTCTGCCTCCCAAGTGCTGGGAGTAAAGGCGTGCGCCACCACGCCTGGCAGATATATACATTCTTATCTTTTATCCAATTTGGAAAGTTTAGCACTGTTTCTCCAAATACTCCTTGACCTTATTCTCTACCCAGTCCTTCTGCAAGTCTAATAAGTGTGTGCTAGACCGCCACAGGCCCCTTAGGCTTCTCCTATTTTCTACTATATTCTTTCTGTTTCACAGAAAATTGAAAATTTCATTTGACCTATCCCCACATTTTCTAGTTCTCTTCTGTACGCTCAAAACCTGTATGTTCTGTTCCTCTGGTGAATTCTATACTTATAGTACTTTTCAAATTCAGATTTCTATTTGGCTCCTTATAACTTCTTTACTACCAGTCACTATTTACTGACACAGAGTGTTCCTAGTTTCCTTTAGTTCTTCATCAATGGCTTCTTTTACTTTTTTTTTTGGTCTTTTTGAGACAAGGTCTCCCTGTAGCCCCAGCTGTCCTGGAACTCACTATGTAGACCAGGCTGGCCTTGAACTCACATAGATCCGCCTGCCTAGTGCTGGGATTTGCATTTTTGTTTTGTGTTTTGTTTTGTGTTTTGTTTTGAGGGTTTTTTTTGCTGAGTCAGGGTTTTACTGTTGCCTCACCTAGCCTGGAGCTCGTTATGTAGCCCAGGCTGGCCTCAAACTCAAGAGAACCACCTGCCTGCCTCTGCTGGGATTAAAAGCATGCTCTCTTACACCTGCCTCTTTTAGATCTTTGGCTATATTTAAGATAGTTAATTTTAAGAATTTTTTTTTACTACATTTATTGGGGGGGGGGTAGGCCATGGTGCACATACAGAAGTTAGAGGACAACCTGTGGAAGTTGGTTCTTTTCATCATATAGGGTTCAGAGGGATCAAACTCAAGCTATCCGGCTTGGTAGCAGGAGCCATCTCACCAGCTTGTTTTAAGAGTTGTTTATGTTTGTGTTTCCTTGAGGACAGATTGTAACTTTTACTTCACCTGTGAAAAAACAACCTGTTTCTTCGTCAATTTTACAAGTTTCTGTTAAATCATTAATCAAAATTTTCAGCACCTATTTTCATTTTTCCTGGCACATTGTCATGCAAAAAGTATGTAGAGCTAGGCATGATGGTGCACCCTTTTAGTCCCAGCACTCAGGAGGTAGAGACAAGTGGATCTTTGTGAGATTGAGGCCAGTCTAGTCTACATAAAGAGTTCCATGCTCACAACAAACAAACAAAAAATATGTAAAGATCATGAAAGAGAACTTTAAGCTGTCTATTTTCTGAGGAAATATCCAGAATTAAAATAGCCGCATCTCCTATTCAGGGGCTAACCCAAAAGTGTACATGGGTGAAGGGGCCTTCAACACAAACAACCAATGGAATGCCATAAGCAGCAATGATTTTTTTTGTAGCTTTGGAAAGATGCAAGCAGTTCTTTCACTGTGAGAATTCCACATGGCCTCTGTTGTCAGAGATGGGGCCACAGCTATGTCCTCAGCATCTTGACACCCAAAGAGATTTACCACTCTTTTTTATGCACAATGAGTCTGGGGAGAAAAGGCACTTTTGTTTTAAGATTTAATTTTTTATTTATTTTTTATGTATAAGAGACTGGACCTAGAATTCAACAAAGCTAGGTTCAAATCCTAAGTCCTACCTAGGTCAGCCACTACCAAGGTCTTAATTAATTAATTAATTTATTTATTTATTTATATTTATTTATGGGTCTGTGTGTATGTACATGCATGTGTGTTCTGGTATGTGCAAGTGCTTGTGGAAGCCAGAAGAGGGTGTCAGATCCTCTAGAACTAGAGTTATAGGCATTTGTGAGTTGCCTGAAGTGGGTACTGGAAACCAAACTCTGGTCCTCTGGAAGATCAGCACACACTCTTAACTGCTGAGCCATCTCTCTAGTCCCCAGAAGGAACCTTGATGAGATAGCATCCTCAGATCCACACAGGGCTGGGCCAGAGTGAGTTATAGGGAAGTTCTGAGTTCTCCCTACCATGGAGCAATGCTGAGTTCCCCTGCTGATTCCTCCCCACTGAAAATCCTCACTGAGACTCAGCAGAGAAAAGCAAAATCTGGGTAATTTATTCAACTTTCTTAACTAGGCATGTAAGCAGGAATCTGAATTCTATAAGGGGAGAGAATAAGGGGTAGGAAGGATATTCTGGACAGAACACCAATGAGGCACTTCAAATGTTAACCTGGAAAGAACTTCTTATCATTGTGCCACAGATAAATGTACACTATGTGTGAGCATGCCTGGCCCAGGGCTGAGCAGGATGCTAAAGGGAGTTAGGAGAAGGCACCACTGTCAAAGTAACCCAGGTGGCAGAAGTAGCTAGCTATGGGTCAGGGGCCATGCAAATGACTTGCTATATGAACAATGAGCCAACTGTGGCTTTCAAAGTTACTCAGGAAAGGCAAGCAGGGTAGAAAACCCCTTACAAAGGTCCCCACCCATTTCTTGGGTTCAGACCACTCTGGTAGGGGAAAAAGAATCCTAGCACAGGAGATTAAGTTTTGAGTAAGAAAGAAAAGCCAAACACCTCATGGCTAGAAGCTCAAGCATACACCAAATGGTGATATGATTCATCCCTTCACTGGATCTTCTGCAGACATTATTTTGGTCTCTGTAGTAAAGCCTTAAGTCTCAACAGAATTAAAACAGGAATTGAGTAACTCAAACAGGAACCAATAAGCTTTAGGCTAAGAAGATCTCTGAGGTCTTTGAAATGTCTCAGGAGGTTCAAAGTTCTGAAGACCAGAATGAACATTTGCCCAGACAAAATGGGCAGGAGCAGCAACCACCTGACAGTATGCACAGATAAATGAGGGTACCCAGCTCCTGCTAGGGTGAACAGCTCAGTCCAGCAATACTCACCAGTGAAGCCTGGAGTGAGAGCTGCCAGCTTCCTTGACAGAGCATCCTTACTGAGGCTTTCATCCAGCTTGAGTGGACGTAGATGGACCTTGAAAATGGAAGACCTGCCTTTGAAATCAGGAGGACCTAATAAAGAAAAAATGACAAGCTCAGTTTTTATCCTCGGAGCCTTTGGAACAGGGTTCTCTAGTTACTTTACAAAACTTCAAGACCAGCAGAGGTCCCTGCCATCATCACCTGACTATAGCCAAGATGCAGTGGCAAAGAACACCTGTGCTGGACAATGTAAAAACATATCAAAACACTTTCTTGGGATGGGTATGTAGCTCAGTGGTAAGGTACCTGCCTAGTATGACCAAGGCCCTGGGTTCAGTCACTAACCACACACACACACACACACACAAAACCTCTCTTTAACAGTCTTGACACACCCAGCTTCCCTGTCAAGTTTTTATAACACTACATGAAAATAAAACCTGGAGAATATAAATAATGCTCCACCACTCCTATCTGTATGCTCTGCAGGGACAGTTGGACATTTGTTATTCCAAAAATGTAGACTGTCAGAAGACAAGACTCAGCAACAAAATCTCCTCCAAATACATGGTAAATGATCTCACTAAACATTCAGAGGCTGAAGTACAAACCCAAGAATATACTTGACATGCACTCACCAATGTAAATCTGGCGGTCAAACCGGCCAGGACGTGTAAGAGCTGGGTCAAGGATATCAGGGCGGTTGGTGCCAGACAACACCACCACATTAGTGGTAGAGTTGAACCCTATACATAAGAAAAGAGATGAATGTGAGGAAGGGCTAGGTCAGCACCAGCATCCCCTTGCTCATTTTGAGTCAGGCCCCATGCTGGCTCTGCTTCCTCTCTACTTGCCAAGTGCCATGAAGCAGGCATGAGTTTCTGCCCAGGTGCCCCAGCCCAGGGCAACAAGCTAAAGGGAAATCACATGACTTCCTGCCAGATAATTCCTGTGGAAGCTAAGCACCTATAGTGTTCACTTACCATCCATCTCCACGAGCATCTGATTTAAGGTGTTCTCCTGCTCACTCTGGCCTCCCAGATGCCCACGGCCTCGTTTCCTGCCAATAGCATCTATCTCATCAATGAATAAAATACAAGGAGCATTTTTCCGTGCCATTGCAAACATGTCACGAACCTGGAAAAGGAATCCAGAGTCTATTTTGTTACTTATATTCCAGTGACACCCAAGGAAGAAAATTCACCCTTAGCCCTCCCTTTGATACATCAGCACCTCCTAGGTGGAATGTACTCTAGCCTTGTCCCACACAAAGCTTGTAGCTATACAGGCTGACCAACCAATCCTAGACAAGTGTGCTGGCAACTTCTATACCTGGTTACCCATCCACTTACCCTTGCTGGCCCAACACCAACAAACATTTCCAGAAACTCTGATCCATTCACTGTGATGAAAGGCACATTGGCCTCCCCTGCAGTTGCTTTTGCAAGAAGTGTTTTGCCTGTGCCAGGTGGACCAGTGAGCATGGCTCCCTGCAACAGAAAAAGGACACCTAATGCAAGAGGAACAAGCCCAGTCTCCACTTAGATCTGAGTAGGAATTTGTTTCCTTATACATACAGGTGACCTCAAAACTAACAAAAGTTCCATCAAATGCACTATTTTTCAAACCTAGGACTTTTTCTTTCAAACTTTTCTGCTTCTAAAATTAATGCACAGGGCTAGGGAGATGACTCAGTCAGTAAAGTGCTTGCCATACAAGGACCTGAGTTCATTCTCCAGAACTCAAAAAAACCTAGGCATGGTAGTGCACACCTACAACCCCAGTGCTGGAGAGGAAATGATTCCTAGGGTTTGCTGGCCAGTTGGCCAACCAACAAGTCAGTCTAGCCTACTGACAAACTCCAGGCCAACAAGAGATCCTGTCTCAAAAAAACAAGGTGGCATGGGGCTCCTGAGAAATGGTAGCTAAGGTTGTCTTCTGGCTTACACACACATACACACGTGCATGTACATATATCAACACACAAAACCATAGACAGATACAGCATCAAGATGAAAGCCCCCATACCCTCACTTGGAAAAGCTCTCGCCTGCAGAATAGGTCGGGGGGGGGGGGGGGGGCG